GCTCCTGTGTTACAGTGGTTCATTTTATAAGGTAGTAGACTGTTTTCCAGATTAGTTAGGATTCCTGTAGAATACAATCAATGTCATTTGTTAGCATAAGGTCAAAAGTATGAAGATGAGACTGCATAGGATCGTACACATTTTGAACAAAGCCAATCCACTAATCTGTTATTTTTTTCACTGGCTGTCTCTCATTTTTTGTTATAAGTAACTGATATATTATGATGCAACTTTTACTTGTAAAATTGTTTGCAGTTTAAAGGTTATTTAAACTTTTTAATTATATGAACATTTCCTAACATTTAAGCATCATACCAACTTCATGGGTCTTTATTTTGTCTCATATTCTTCAATATGTGACATAATTTCCTCAGGATGAAAACAAGCAGCTTCCATCATCTGTGCCAAAGAAGCAGTCCAAACCCCGACTGTCAACAGGGAAAGACAAAAGTGTAGACTCTGCGGTGGACAAGCAGCGACAAGAAGCCAGAAAGCGGTTGATGGCAGCCAAAAAGGCGGCATCAGTACGACAGAACTCTGCCACAGAAAGTGCTGACAGCATTGAAATCTACGTCCCCGAGGCCCAGACCCGCCTCTGAGAACAAGCCACCATCGATGATAAAACACTCACTTTCAGTTACTCGTTGCCACAGACACACAATTCTGAAATGAACACACAGATGTGTATAACTGATGCACAGAGGCTGATCTTTTAGCAACGCAGCTGATGAAGATGTGAGGATCACAGAGCACCGTAATATTCCAGATAGTGATCCTGCCACCTTTGGACAGAAAAACCTTCACAGATGTTTAATACTATTGTTATTATGTTATTGTTATTATAACTATCTCCTAAAATATTTCAAGACTGTCTTTAATTGTGAAAGTATCTTGAATTAGGACATTCTGTACCTTGTGAACTGAAATATCTTGGCATCCCAAAAGTTTACTTTCTAGGGAAAAAAAAAAAAAAAAATCCCCTCACTGCTGAGTCGACAGGCGAATTGTGGCTGTGCGGTTTACGAGCTGAGCTACCATCCACACACACTCAGGACACACATGCAGGTGTACTCACTGTCCAGAGTCTTCCTGTTCTCTTTCTTTATATTGGCGTATGGTGCAAGCTCTTTACTGTGTTAGGAATACAAGATGGTGTTTGAACCGAAGAGAACCATAGGAAGGCAGTAGCATATATTATAAAAAACACACTATTACAATGTTAATTTTGTAAATGCTGTATACCAGAATAATTGTTAGAAAGAGGTCAGTGTTAAGCACCAAGTTAGTTTTATATAAAGTACATTTACTGTCATGATATATTTGCACTTGATGCAATCATTCACATAGTCCTTTTCCTCTATTATTCCCTTTCACAAACATTCATCACAAGCTGTCAATATCCAATCTTATGTTCATTTCTTTTGCTTTTGAGTAATGGATTCAAGGGAGACTTGCTTAATCAGTGAGCTACAGTGGAATGTATGAAATGCAACTTGATCACTGCACTTTCAGTTCACCTCAGATCAAGTTTGGCCACCTTTATTTTCTTAATCATTCTAACTTTTCACTGCATCCTGATTGGATGTGGGGGACCAAGACATTCACCTCTCAATGTGGTATTCCTTTTCAACCAGGCGGGGGTGGAGGGGGAGGGGACTTTTTCTCACTCCTGAGGAGAATCCTAATAGAAAAGCAATAATTTAGACATTTCAGACCAATCGAAGATGTAGGTATCCATTCTTCAAAATTTATTTTGTTTTGTTTTTTTATGTGAAGGACAAATAAGTTTATTGATGAGCTGCATTGTTGGAATAAAATAAATCTCAGGTTAAACACCTTGATAGATGAACCATTTTTGAATAAAGATTTCCTATATAAGCTTAAATCAAATGGCCAAAACCCCTGAGCTTTAGAAAATGCTCTTCATGCATCAAAGCATGATCAGTGTTCCTCTAACCCCTCCCCCAGTGGATAGTTCTGTGCAGTCTTAAGGTGACTAATGGCATGTCTTTATTTTCAGTTATTGCATTGTGATACATTTTTTTGGTTGAGACTCAAAGTCTAAGGTACAATTAAGTTTTTATGTAATTTCACATATTTTTGACTTTCAACATTAATAAAAAAGTTACATAAACATGTAATTTGATAGATATTTGAAATGCAAGAATTTTTCGCCAACTCCATTTCAGTTTCATTTGCTCACTTTTATATAAAAAATTATTTAAATGTGTTTTGAGTTCAGCTGCATTATTTTCCATGTGCTTTACCTCGGTATGTGACATCCCTCGTCAAATAGTGGTTTGAATCGGAGGAATTTCTGAAGCAAAATATTTGATTTGAGGATTTCGCACCTTTGCAAGTAACCTGTTAAAAATACAATAACTTAGGGCCTAAAGTGCTACATCCAGCAAATATAAAGAAAGGCTGGTTTTGCATATACGTGGTTGTTTAAATACGCTTGATACATTAAAAATAAATGTTAAAAACACATTTTATAAATTCCATATTTATGTATCAAATCAATTCCAATATTAACATAATTATAGATAATGTACATAACATGCTGTTACAGTTGTATTTAAATGACCATGTATATTAATATTTCAAAATTTGTTGATAGAACTGTGGCACCTTTGGCCCTCAATTTGTTTTTTTGTCAATTTACATGGCTTTTTCTTAGAGCTTCCCCTACTGGTGAGTGAATAGAACACTTAGAACATGTGGTTATCCTTTTAGTTAGGAAAAAGGATCAAGCAAATAATGTTGAACTGGGAATACTGATACAACCCTGCAAAATCACTTCTCTTATTTGTACAACATTCAACATTGGACACGCTCACCTCATTGTCCTGAAAAATCATTAAACATCCCTTTGCCACATTTCCTGGTCATCATTCCTGTAATCTTTCCTTATAGCATTCATTATCCAACGGTAATATTAGCTACCAAGTTAATATTACACCAATAGTAAAATTATAGGCATTACAGCATATTTTTTATTACTGTGTAATCTCTGAAAGCATGGCATTTCTTTAATATAACATATACAAAGATTCTTACCAGTGAACTTATAGTATTCCTTTCAATAGGTCTTGCAAATTATCTGTGTGAGGCATTCAGGGTATGTACTGTTTGTTGGCATTCATAAATGGGACAGTTTGTGGAAAGCATTCTCTTTATTTCAAATCATCTTAGAGCCGGATCCCTTTACTTGCCCATACACTGAGAGCAAGACCTCCGATCAGGGATCTTTAGACAGTTTACCAGTACTTCCCGAGTTCCAAAGGGCTACAAAATGGACAAACCGGAAGGTGCAACTCTGGAGGTTCACTTTGCTGATGTGCTTTTCAACCACCGTGTAAGCAAGGCAATACTTTTCCGGCTATGTGATGAATTTATTTATTCTGCCTGCTTGATAGACAGAAACTGAATCATAATTACAGTGCATTCTTACTGCAGAAGCTATCCTTAGTGGCCTCTATTCCATTGGCTGCATATCTGTCCTCAGAGACCCAGTTAGTCAAATAAGCAAAAACTCTAGTTCCAGTTTCCGCTGTCCTGAATAATTTTACACTAGAAGCACATATCATACACATGAAGGGTTGTTTAACGTTACTGTGTATTAGTTAGACACTGTGAGCCTAGTTTCTTTCAAAGATAATAAAGATTTTGTGATTGCAATGATTTATGTGGCACATTTTATGTATAACATAAGATGTAGTATTAAAAAGGAATGCCACCAAATTTTTGTAATGCATATTCTTATTTATGATGTTTCAAGCTAATGAATTGTCTCAATTCTATCAATTATACTTAAACCTGTTGCAGAAAAAACAATCTAGCAAAACAAATCTTTGTGTTTCTAAACTGCTTTGTGTTTCGTTGTTACACTTGCTTTAAAACCAAAAATAAAACAAGGATCAGTAACTGATTTATTTTCTTCACGTTAGCTTATAGAAAATAAAGGGTTTAGTGCACAGATTAGGCCTCTGTGCATTTATATTTTTTTACATAATGTAATCAAGACTGCAGCGGGGAACATTTGGGGAATATCTAATATGACTTGTATTTTAACTTTACAGATTAGTTAAGTTTTTACCTTATTTTGACAAACCTTTGATTGTTTATTCATATTTAATTCATCTGTGAAGTCAAAGGAAAGTATGACTTTTTAGAACAAGATAGAACATTGTAATTGAAAGGGTCAGTTATGTAATACAGTAAAACAAATTAAATCATGAAACTCTAAATCTGGAAATATATTCTAATTGTATATAGGGCAAAATATGATGAAAATCTCACATTTTAGTTATAGTGATCATACCAGTTATTTTGTAAGTGTGTTTTATCCAGCTAAAATATATACATGTTATGATGCAGTGTGAAATTTAATTATGATTTTTTTTATATATTTTGTTATAGTTTGTTGCGTTATTGTTATTTTTACTATTTCTATTTCTGTTTCTAACAATAATAATAATGTGTATTGTGTTTAATTATAATCAGTGTTTCATCAGATCCAGAGATTCGTCTGGCTTTAGTATTAAATTAATATCAATGAATTTAATCTGAAAGAAAATATACGTATATGAACAAGTTTTATGGCCGTGAAATTACACCTCCAATATGGCAGTTACGGTAACGTAAGGCTTTGTTCAATACGTATTCGAATTACTTTATTTTGAAACATTCACCGGAAGAACTACTTTCACTGAAAAGTTCAACTTCCTGTATCAGAAAGGAGGCGGACCTGAAGCCGAGGGGGAAGAAGGGGATGTCAGCGTAGCCGCTTCAGGTCAAATAATAGCATCACTCACTAAAGTGGAGGACACCCCGGCACAATTTACACTTTGGCTCGTCTTGGTATGTTGCTGGTTTCATCTCAGTTGTTATGCTGCGCAGTTGCTTTCTATTTGTAAACGCAGTAGTTTTCAGGACATGTTCGCCTTCATGTACAGTAGAAGCTCCGGTTGTTCGGTACAGTGTGTAACAGGTTGAAAAATGGCAAGAATAGATTCTACTTTTAGGCTTAGATTCAGACATTTGATTCTTTTCATATTGAAATGAGAGAAATTAAAACACCTAGTCTTTACAGTGCTGTTAACACCGCAGCTTTAAACTGTAAATACTCATATATTTACAGTTACATGGGGAAGTTGTAGCTAACACTCAACCGTTGAAGATCACTTTAATTAAGCCTGCTGAGAAGGAACAGAGACGTATATTGTTTCAAAGATAGTTTATAGAAAATAAAGGATAGAGTATATATATATATTTTAATTCTGTATAAATATATGTTATTTTTATTTTGTATAGGTTTGAGGTTTTAGTGCATATATATATATATATATATATATATATATATATATATATATATATATATATATATATATATATTATTCTGGTGACATAAGTGTTGATTTTCTTAAAGTTATTGTTTAACTAAACATTTTATTTTAAGAGAGTTCCCACTTTAGGAATTGTTAACCATACTTGTTAGCAATTATTTTTAGACAGATTTATTTTGTATAAACAAGTGTAAACAAAAAGAAATTTCAATTAAAACAGCTCTAGACAATTTCATATTTTTAAGTGCAGCCTTGAAAACAGTAATAAATACATTAAAAAATAGTAATATAAACATATGACTGTATATTTACAGTTCTAACATTCATTTTTTTAAAAAAAACACATAAATAAAATGAGCATTTATGAAGAATATAATAAATAGCAATTTCAGTTACAAATTGTTTATCTGTGACAATGTAGTCATTGTTTTGCATTTTATTTAACATAAATAATTATCTCTTGTTTTAATGTTCCCTCAGATGTAATATTATGCCAGCATCACGCTGCATGTGACATGTTACAGCACTTTTCCCCGTGACCAGAGATCACTGTCCCTCCACCTGCTGTAACGTTGGGGCGCAGCTCAAGCCCAGTCATGGCTGCCAGAAACCAGAAACCTCCTGCCGATTTAAAAAGCTCAGCTGAAGCCAAAAGGACGGACCAAAAGAACAATGAGAAGAAGTGCTGTGAGTGATTTGTTCCTCTGTTTACCAAAGGCAGAATGCATAACTAAAACTTCTAACCTATTCTTTGTTAAAGGTTGAACTCTAGGTGCCCCCTAGTTGGTGTATTATTTAGCAGGTTCTCTTATGATTTGGAAGTAAATTTCAAAATGCTTGCTTGATAAAGAGTCCCAGCTCTGTGTGCAATGTGTAACAGGATATAATACCATTTCAACCAGTGTGCAATGCTAAATGTCAACTGTGACGCACCATCTCTCATTATTGGTATGTGCACAGTGTGAGTGTATTGGAAAAAAGCATGCACAGATGCATTCACTCAAAGGGGCTGTAAATATTACAATGTCATCAGGACCGTTGTTTCAATGCATTATCCAGACTTTTTTTTTCATCAGGAATGTATGGCAGCTCTAACTTTCAACATCAAGCTTTTTCAAGTTCCTGCGTTTCAGTTCTGAGAATCTTGTGTCAAGTCTGTTCTCGCCAGCTCCTTGTCTGGATAGATTTATCTTTCCCTGTACACTGTAGAGCAGAGAAGGAAAAAAAAAAAGTAACAATATCCACTCCCTGTTCAAGCGTGGAAAGGTTGGAACATTGAACCAAGCCACTGTGCTTTGGAATACAGGGTACAATTAATCATAAACTGCTTCCTAAAAGAGACGATATAATAAACATTACCCAGTTCAAAGACGTGCAGAGGTGACACTGGATCATTACATAACACTCCCACGTCTTGCTTCTAGTGTACGTGCTGTAATTCTTTCATAGTTGTTTATAAAATAAAACAGTTTGGCCTCCACACCTCTGAGCCTGGGCGTTAAAAAAAGTCACACAGATCATGAAATGTTTTTTCCATGATTAAAAGACTAAATACTGTAATTTATGTCTCTGAACTGCAGCTTGGGCCTCCTATATGACCAATTCTCCACTTATGATAGTGATGATTGGATTACCTGCTAGGGGGAAAACCTACATGTCTAAGAAGCTGACACGCTACCTCAACTGGATCGGAGTTCCTACAAAGGGTCAGTACTGAGAAAAAACATGTCTGATCTTCATTCAGAGAAGAACATTTCGTTTAAAAAATAAAGCAAATAAATACAACTAAAACATGATGACATTAGCTCTAATGGTGGTGGTCTACATTGTTTATTTGCCTTCAAGAAATCTTTCGCTTCAGGCTAAAAGGTTTCGGCTATTAGCACGCTCTAGCACTGCTGTGTTGATACTGTAGTTGTACCCTCTGTTTTCAGCTTTAAGGAATGCAGAAGAACCTGTGTAGCCGAGGCAGTTTAAACAAAGATCACTGCCTAGAGAGCGCACAGACTTTAATCCTCATCTCTTCCTCTTTATCTCCTTTTTTTCCTTTTTAAATATCTTGCAGTCTTTAATCTGGGAGCTTACAGGAGAGAAGCAGTGCAGTCATACAAGTCCTATGATTTCTTCAGACATGACAATGAAGAGGCGATGGAAATTAGAAAGTGAGTCAAAAGATCTTTATTGTGCCCACCTCTTAAACCATTACACGTTTATGCTGTTACAACTAGCCTTAATGCATTTTATAGGTATTTTATGTGATAGATAAACACAAACTGATGCTCATTTAGAAGGAGAAAGATACACAGTGACAAAACCATTTGCAAATAAAAATGTATTCTGCTGTAATATCCCTGCATAAAATTGTCACTCTGATTTATTTACCTTGTTAGTGTGGCGCCAGCTGCCATTAGATGTAATCCAATCAGTGAATAAAGTCCACCTGGTGTCATTTAATTGCATAGTACAAAGAGTTATTCACAGGTTTGTTAGAGAACATTAGAGAACTAAAAGAAGTCAAAAGAACAGTCCACACAGGTCGGATGTCTTTTTAGTCAGTGACTACCGGTAGTTAATTAAACAACATCCAACAGAGCCCCAAATTTATAATGCCTCATGCCAAACCATAGTCATTCAGCTAAATTGTCAGATTAAGCCTAAGAAAGAGTAGGATCAGGGTGACACTGGAGGAGCTGCAGAGATCCACTGGACGGGCCTGGGACAGGTTTCTTAGGAGAGAACAAAATGAATTTTTTGTAGGTTTGAAAAGCTAGTGAGAGAAGAAAGGAAGAGATTAGTAGAAGGAAATTAAGGAAGATAGTCTGTCAGATGGTGTGAAATACCTGAGACTAGATAGACCATTTAATTTGTTTGTCTGATGAAAGCACAGAAGTGAAGGTCTGTGACCAGATTTGATGACTTATATCCCCTGAGGTAAAACGAAAGTAAAAGAAAAATCTCAATCTCTAAATTTGCCAAATACATGGTAAACAGATTAAAAATATAATCGCAGCACAGTTGGAGTACTGACCCGGTGCTGAATTTAAATAACCTAGATTTTTATTTATTTTTTTTAAAGATCATGCATAAATAATTGTGTATTTTTTAATTTCCCCTTCACAATTACCACTTTGTAATTTAAAGCATATTTATATGTGTTCAGACATAAAGCGACGCCTAAATCAAGGAATAAACTAACATTAAGCTATTATTGCATCATATCTTGCAAGTGGTAGAGGGTCAGGTTTAAATTATATATGTATTAAAGGTTCTAACCTTTCGTTTTGATCAGCTTTCTATAAAGACACAATTTATTCCAATGTCTTTAAATTGCATCATCTAAAAGGAATAGTTAAAAAGTAAAAAAATATATAGACACATTTTTTGGGCTGGAGTTTCAGATGCTGCTCTTCTGCTCTTAATCTTCAGATCTTTCAAAGGCATACAACACACAATGCTTAGATATATAGTTTAAGATCCATTAAAGAGACTGGATTTCTATTCAGGACTTGGAAAAAACACAGAGAAGTAATGTTTATGCTGGCTTGGAGATATTATTAGACTGTGTGACCTGTTCAAAAGAAGCAAATGCTGGTGTTTTTTTTTAATGTGTTTCTCTTTTTGTGCTTCCATAGACAGTGCGCCTTGGTGGCACTGCAGGATGTTAAGACCTATCTGAATGAGGAAGGAGGCCAGATTGTTGTAAGGAGCTCGTCATATTAATGTTTTGCTTTTTGGTTGTTTGTTTGTGAATAAATATCAAGTTCAGTCCGAGTTAAATCTGATTATTCCTGCTGTTGGTTAGGTTTTCGATGCCACAAACACAACCCGAGAAAGGAGGACACTCATCCTTGATTTTGCAAAGGAAAATTCATACAAGGTCAGAACTACGCTCATGAATGGCGAATAAATACCCACACACTGCTCAGAGTTTATTGTAGCTCCTTTGAATAGTTAACAGACTTTACTGATGAAAAACTCTCAGCTGTCCTAGTTTATGGACAATCTGAAGCTTCGCTGGGTTTGTGCTGTGGCCCTTATTCACAGCTTATTTATTAATCCCATTCACAGTATGCCACACAGCAGAGATAAGATTTTTTACACTATCTTTGTTTCAGGTGTTTTTTGTGGAATCATTATGCGATGATCCAGATGTCATTGCTGAAAACATTCTGGTAAATATATTATTCTTTGTTTATCCAGTGAAAGGCCCAATCTGTAAATGTTAAAACATCGCTCTGAATCATCTTTTCAAATATAGGAAGTAAAGGTGTCCAGCCCTGATTACCCTGAACGGGACAGAGAAAGCGTCATGGACGATTTTCTAAAGAGAATCGAATGTTATAAAGTGACCTACCAGCCTTTGGATCCAGACGAACACGACAAGTGAGATCTCATTCTCTTTTTATCATTGTTATTCTTGTGGAAGAAGTTTTGGTTTTTCAGTATTTCATTCATGTAATTTACCTGAACCTTTTTTTTTTATCATTTGTAGATTTTAGATGTTTTTTGTGTTTAAAAAAAAAAAAAACATAACAGGTTTGTTCTTGTTACCATTGTTTAAAAAAAAAAAGTGTGTTTTTCCTACTTTGTCCAACAGGGGGAAACAGCAGCTCGGTTAAAGAGTAAATGTCCTAACCTGTCCAAGTTCTGGCAAATGGTTTACATTCTTTTATGTTTAAATTCTTTATTAAAAACTAAAATTGTGAGTTTTAATGTATGTTTTTCATCTAACTAAAATAACACCTTAGTTTGTAATTTGAAAATATAAGTGTGTTTGTGTGGTATCTTACATCTTGTTTACGTTGGAGCCTTAGAAGACTTTTAGACAACACAGGAAGGAAAGATATCTACTTTTTAACCTTGGTGGTGTCTCCGTGTCTTGTCTTGTCTTGTGTTTCTGTAAATATTTATGTTTGACTGCTATTTTTTTTATCTATGCCCTGCAGGAACCTGTCCTTCATCCAGGTCATAAATGTCGGTCGCCGTTTCCTGGTGAACAGGGTGCAGGATTACATCCAAAGTAAGATAGTCTATTATCTGATGAACATCCATGTCCACTCCCACTCCATCTACCTTTGCCGGCACGGAGAGAGCCAGCACAATCTGGAAGGACTCATTGGAGGCGACTCTGGTCTGTCAGAGAGAGGAAAGAAGGTGCTTTTTTTACTTCATGCTTTTTTTTTAACTAAAGGAATTGCAGTTATCACCCATATAAATCTCTGAAATATGAAGGAAAGACAAGAGAGGTGTTTGCCAGATATAAACCGATACATTGGCCAATATTAGCATTTTTATTTCTTTATCCGCACCGGCCGATACATGCATCATTTGCCTATTTCTTAGTGACACCATACTTTAAGATCACATAAGGCGCAGGTTTAAAATTGTTTTTGATTGTGTAATTTTGTTAATATTAATTCCTTCATAGTCTGGAAAAGAACAGAATTTCAAGTAAAGATGAAATAAGATTTCCATTTCAAGACTTTCATAGTCTGTTTGTTCCATCCATCCATCCATCCATCCATCCATCCATCCATCCATCCATCCATCCATCCATCCATCCATCCATCCATCCATCCATCCATCCATCCATTTAATTTAAAGCCTAACCCTGTGGATTCATGTGCTGTATATGTATCACCTGAAGCCATAATTATAACCTAATTGCTGACATGTTTTGCTGTCAGTCTAACTGTTCTTGTATCCTTTCTTTCACAGTTTGCTGTGGAGCTGAAAGCTTTTGTGAAAGAACACAAGCTGTCTGATCTGAAAGTCTGGACCAGTCAGCTGAAGCGCACCATTCAGACTGCAGAAGAGCTGGGTGTTCCCTATGAGCAGTGGAAGATTCTGAATGAAATTGATGCTGTGTGTGTCCTTAGAAACCTTCTGAAGTCACCGATCCACACAGAAAGACGCACCTGATTGATGCTTTCTGTGTTTCAGGGAGTGTGCGAGGAGATGACCTATGCTATGATTGAGAAGAAGTATCCAGAAGAGTTTGCTATGAGAGACCAGGACAAGTATCATTACCGATACCCTGGTGGAGAGGTAACAGCCTTTTATTTTCTCCTGAAGAAGCTTTAAATAATAATATTCTACTGGTCATGCTGCTTTTAGCAAAATATCTGCTGCTCATGTCTTTTCAGTCCTACCAAGACCTGGTCCAGCGTCTGGAGCCGGTTATCATGGAGCTGGAACGGCAAGGCAATGTTCTGGTCATCTGTCATCAGGCTGTCATGCGCTGTTTGCTCGCCTACTTCTTGGACAAGGGCGCAGGTTACATGCATTAAGAAATGGCTCTGCCTTACATTAAATGTGTTAAGTTTAAAATGGGAGTTTCATATGGTAAACCAACACAAAGGAAGGCAAATGAAAATCATAAATAGCTTTATTTGTTTTGGATAAAAGCTGAAAAGTGTGTAGTAAATTTTATATTTAGTCCTCCTTTGACTCCATGCTTTGTAGAACCACACTCTTCTTACAGCTTTAAATCTCTTTGGATCTCTACCAGCTTTTCAGATAAGTACTAGAATCATGTTCTCAAACAAGGTCAGACTGAACGAAGAGTTTATTTCAACATCAATTACAAGTTCCGCCAAAGCCCCTTAATGTGATTGACTGCTGGAATTTGATTTTGACCCTTTTAAAGTCCTGCATTTGTCTTGAACCTTTGCCTCAGTCTTCTAAATCTTTTGCAGTCATTTGGAGGTTTCATCATCCGTTGCCCTAGACTTGAGCTCCATCAAAAATAAACCATCAACTCTAAGTAGCTGCAGAATATTTTTCAAACCACCTGTTATTTTCCATCCAGCCTACAATAATGTGCTACCTTGTGCTGTCCAGTAAAAAGTGAAACATTTCCAGGTTGTATAATAAGCTCTGCAAGGCACTGCAACAGATGAAAAGCCAAACATCTGTGTAAAAAGAGGGGCTGAATATCATTACATCACCAGACATTTTGTGGTTTAAGAGCTGCACCTTAATGACGTGGACGTAGTTTTAGAAAAGTCTGTAACTTGCTAAAAACAGCTTTTAACAGCTCCATTGTGCGATTTAATAGAGATGTTTTTTATATTACTGAGGTCATGTGCAGACTTCAACAGACTGCTGCAGAACAATAACACTGGGTGGTGTTTTGATATATTACAGGCAGGAACATACTGTTTTTTTTATTTTTTTTTATTTTTTTTTGTAGTTAACCCATTACTTCTAAATTGATTATAAACAGGCTTTAGTGATTGGGTTATCAGGTAGTTAAGTCTTTCTATCTTGGGATTGTTTGCATAAAGCTCAAGAATGCAGAGAAAATAATACTTTCTCCATAATATTTGGGTTTTTCTGTTTTTTTTTTTGTTTGTTTTTTTATTATTTGTTTTTACTAGACTCCCTGAATCTGTTTTATTTTATTTCTTGAAATATGAAAACCTTTTTTTTGCGTCTTTGCGTATACATACTTCTATTTGATGTAGTGATTTAGTTATTACATTTGAATCTACATTATTTTTTAAAACGTAACCCTATAAATGAACACCCAAGGGGCAAATATCAGGAAACTTCAAAATAAAAGGTTTAAAGTCAGGGGATTTTCATAGAAAAATAAACATAATTCTTTGTATAAACTCGCTCTAATGTCCACATTCTTCACACCAGAAACAAAAAAGTCACACCAGTCTGTGAAGCAAAGCGTTCATTTGTATATGATTAAATAATGACAATTCTCTGTTCTTACATAGCAACAACAACCTCAACACTTAGGTGTCGTGAATACTGTAAAAACAAGAAAAAACTAGACAAAGGGAAATATCAGGATTATTCCATACAGTTTCTTTTTGTGAGTAGAGCTTAAATGCATGTGTTGTCATCATCACAGCTTTATTTCTGTGCTCGGTTAGATGAGTGTGCAAACCAAAGATTGTGCTCTGCTCTGACTGGTATTTTGTCTCAATATACTCCCACCAGTGGGCATGTCGCCCTGCAGACTTAGTCACAGCAGTGTGTTGCTCAGAGCAGCAGAGCATGGGTGTGCCTTCCTAAGGAAGAGAGAAAAAATAAACATTTATAAGATGAGAAACTGAATAATAATAAATAAAACCAAAGCCTGACCTTACAAGTCTTTTTTTTTTTTACTACTTTCTCTGGCTTAGACGATTTACCCTACATGAAATGTCCCCTGCACACTGTCCTCAAACTCACCCCAGTGGCTTATGGTAAGTCATCATTTGGCTTGTAAGGAAATCAAACATCATCTTTCCTTGTTTTCATTGTGATACATTTTTGCTCTCTCTGCCTCTACTAGGATGTAAAGTGGAGATGTTCGATCTAAAAGTGGAAGCTGTTAACACTCACAGGGACAGACCTCTGGTAAGTTATTTTAACTAAAGCAGTCAGGCAGGAGCCTCACTTCAAGGAAAATGTGGGCTGCTGCAGAGGGCAGCTTGCTGACACAGGAGAACTATTGTTATAAATCCAACCAAAATAATACCCTGCAGTATCTTATCTGCTAAAAGAAGACAGATATCCAGCCAGCCAGGCTAAGGTACCATCCAATTGAAATATTTTATAGGGCTTGATATTTATGGAAGTATTTGTATTTCCAGACTTCATTCTCCATCCATCCATCCATCCAACCATCCATCGATTCATCCATCCATCCATCCATCTCCATACACGAAGTTGGTGTTTTTCTGCATTTATCCATCTCTCCATCATCTCTTTCATAGACTCATATTACCACACAGCATCCATACTTTAAAACTGGGATAGTACATTAAGACTTATAGTGTGGAATTTTAGAATAAAAAATAAAGTACATTTTAAGTAATTTTAGTCAGTCAAGACTAAATCTTCTACCAACATATGGGTCTGTGGCCAGTGTGAAGGTCTTCTTATATTTTTCATCTGACTGCCTTTATTGAGTTTATTTTAAACATCAGCTTATGCTTTGTTTAAATAATATATTATTGAACATTAGCAGTGATTTGGATGAGTGTATCCCAGAATAAGTTTGGGTTTTATCAAGATTAGACAATTCCAAACAAAAACTTTTTTGATTGTAATGAATCCGATCATTCCTCTGACATACGTCTGTCTGCCTTCTTTTACTGATAAACGACAAGCAGACATTTTCACTGCTTCTGAAGTTTGTTGTGATTGGCTGCTAAGTGTTAGACAGAGTGGGTGTTAACCCAGAAGCACATTAACTGAGAAACCTCTTGTTAATTGCAGTGAGGAATATCCTGTCTACTGAAACCCATATGGCAATGACCTTTCTATTTCTGACTGTTTTAGCCACAAAAACAAATGACTGATTTACCCAATCTCATCTTTGTGCTCCTGTTTCAACAGAACAAAGTGAAAACGAACACCATGCCGGCACCTTTGTTCCGTAGGAACAGCTTCGATCCGCTGTCCAGCCAAGACCAAATTAAACGGCCGCGTCTGTTCAGCATGGGAAGCCTCACACACTCACACATGTTCCCTTCTTTCCCTGCCTCACTCTTTTCTGATGTGTCTGAGGGAGCTGAACTGCTGCAAAATGAGGTCAGTGTCTATCACAAATGTTACTGTTGTCTTTCAGCGTGCAAAGGTGGACTTTATTTAAACCAGCAAAATGTCAGCCACATAGACTAGTAAACTAGCCCCACCTGCCAGCAGCCAAAATAATTTTTGCCTGCGAGTTTCGGGGTTTTGAGTGCGTGACAACAAAGCTGTGCGACGCTGGAGAACGCACAACAAGGAAGATGGCAACAACTATTGAACAGTAGCATTCACTGCGGCAGCAGCAGCTTTCAATGGAGCGCTCCATTGAAAGTTAAAACTTCTCTTTTCTGATGCTGCTGTTCAATAAAAGTATATTTTAAGATCATTATACTTCAAAGCGTCACTATATGTTCCATTTACCTATTTAATGCCTAATTAAAAAAACGATTTCCCAAGTTAAGAGGACCGCGTCAACCAGCAGACCTCCGAGGCTAACGTCAGCCAGGGCTAACCACAGCCCGTCTGCAGCCGCCCTCTCGCAGCATAGTCGTGTGTGAAGGACCGCTGGCTCTGATGGCGATTTTTGACTCAGCTTTGGAAACAGTTTTGGAAGGATTAGACTTGGGGTTTTCATTGAAACGTAAACAGGAAGAGGTTCTACACTCATTCATTTTTGAGAAGGACGTATTTGCCGTTTTACTGACAGGCTGTTTGTTTACACCCCCCCACCAGCTTCCTGCTGCGCTTACTGCATCACAGTCAGTTGCGCTCATTGGTCAGAGCGTTGGCCAATACACACAGACATGGTTTGAAAAACAACGGGTTGTTCTCATCAACAATCTTCTGATCTCTCAATCATCGGGGCCAGACTAAATAACACTAATCTCACATTTAGTCTGCTTTATCACGCTATCCTCCACAGTGTTTTAGAGTATATTTGTAAAATGGCTATAAGAATTAATTTGAAGAAGAACAACATAAAAAAAAATCACATATGACCTATATAATTACATTTGCATGTATAGAAACATTTGATAACGCACACAAAGCTGCTCTAATAATCAGGTATACTCTACAATGAGTGGAACATTGGACACAAACTTTTTGATCATCAGAAGATGAAAAACATTAGGTAGATATGCAAATGTGATCACTTACCATCAGCAATTTGAAAGAGATAGCAGCTGAGATTTCTGCATCTACATTTAGTGTACAAAAATGTCTGGTGTCATTGATATGAGAAGGAGGCATTTAGGGTAATGACTAGATAGAGAAAGTCCTCTATTTGCTGTCATTTGACTGTCAGGAATTAAATAGTAGAATATATATTATCTTTTGGGCCTTGGGTGTTTTGCGTGTCCTTGAATTTTTTGTTTATACTTTAATCATTTGTTAGATCAAGTTGTATAGTGGCTTGCAACAAAAAAAAAAGGAAATAATGATTTATGGAAATACCTACAGAATTTGCTCCTTTATCACAGGAAATTTTGTTTGTGTGAACTGTGGTATAAGGAGTTAAAATTTTGTCATGAAATAAACAGCTTCTCTCTGGATGTCGCCACATAATTGCTGCTTTCCAATAAACTGTGGTGCTGAAAGAAATCTGCAGCAGCTACTTCTCACCTGCCTTTGTCTTCATCAGGTTATGCATCAACACAATAATCAGTGGTTGAAGCAAATAAACACATAACATACATCTTCCATCCATTAAAATAAAGAGGTTTTTGTCCACAAGGTGTGTGTAGAAAAACAGGGAGACAGAAGCATCCTTCTGCAATGCATTTCTTACAGTAGGAAATGCATCTTCTCCACCTACTAATTATACCTGCCATCTGTGCACAGTGCTGTTACAAAATGTGGCTGTCTTTTAGACGCACAAAATAAATTTAACCTGCTCTCGCTGTGACAGTGAGTAGCACCCCCAAAAACCACAGTTAAATAGAGCAGTCCAGACCACTTATCCATGACCCACACAATCGTGGTGGATCACTTTCAAAACACCCACTATTTGCAAGGGATTTTTTTGTTTTTTCTGGAAAAAGAGTTTAGGTTTTTATTTGGGATCTTAGTTGATCAGGCCCTATGCATTGAAACATCACACCAAACATTCCTATTTTATAGCCACACAAGGCTCTTTGGCCATCAGAGTTGACCTAAACAGTCTTTAAAATGTTTTTTTTTTTACTCTGACAGGGCTTACTACTGTATTCCTTGTGGTTTCCTGTGGGTGTTTGTGTAGGAGTTAACCGCAGTCAATTCAGTTCTTGTGTAGCTGAAGTAATGGCAGATTTATTTTTTTATTTTTTGTGGAAGTCAGTGAGAGCAGAATTCCTGCAGGAGTTTATTTTGCCACTCACTTTGTTCAGACAAATCATGGGCTAAATCTCCTGGAACACTGAACTGCTTATATAGTTTTAGACTTTAGGTTTGCTTTTTGGAAATTAGAGAAATTGGGCAGAAACCTTCAGCAGCTATAGACATATGTGAGGTTAGATTTCCAATTGTGTTTATAATGCAAAGAAGAGGGATTGGATGGTATCATCATTAACCAGTTTGTTTAAAGATCAATCTGAGGCCAGAAGTAAATCAGTTGAATCATTGCATATTTTGCATATCTTTAAGGGACCACCTTAGAAAACTGAAAGAGGGACCTGATCAGCTGCAGGTTGTTGGATCCAGATACTGTCTGGTCCCAAGTAGCCCATTAAAGTAGTTTGCAAAAGTTTAATACACCTAAAACTGTATCCAACTTTTGTCAAATTAAAACCCTGATTTAGAAAACCATATTGTGGGCCTGCAGCGTAAACTCCCAACAGAATACATAAATATTTGTTGTTGCGACGTGAAAAAGATGAGAAAAACTGAGGAGTAAGTCAGCCTGCACAGAATGTTACTTAAAGTTTGTGAATCAAGTTTTTGAAGTGAATAATTCAATATTCAGGCTATTTCAGGATAAATGACATGAGTGTTTCCAGTGTTATTGCATGTGTCGTTGCCCACAAAGTGACCTTTATTAACATGGCTGCACTTCTAAACCCCTGAAAGTGCCAGGAAATATGTCTTACTCTGGCTACAACCCTCAGAGTTCAAATATTAACTCCTGTTCAGTGCCAGTCAAAACAAATACTGCTTCCCTGTTTGGTTCTGTTGCTTGATTTAATGCTCTCCACTCTTCTACCTTCTCTTTTCAATCTGGCAGGACCCTGTGAATGGCTGTAGCACTCCAGATACAGAAGAAAAAAACACATAAGGAGGTAGTTTCATCTAATCTACCTCAAGAAACACCCGTCTCCTTCACATCAGCGTTTCCATGCCTTCCTTCTACCAACCAAGGCTGGTTCCTGTGTGAATGTCCAAGTTTCGTGGATCATCGGTTAAATTTTCAGCTTTCATATTCCTCTCCTGTATTAAGAGCATGTATTTGTTGAGTTAAACCTTTGTGTTATTTTGGGTGTGTTTGTTTAAGCATGGTTTTGCACATATATGTACGAGCTCACAGCTTCTGAATGATATTTTATCTGCACTGTGATCGTGCCAAATGCGCAAAAAGATTTTTAGACTAAACTTGGAATGTCATAATCTTTAACTGAGTCAGTATAAAAGAGAAGAAAAGGGCCTCTGCAGAAACAGCCTTGATTTGTCCTCTGATAGCTTTTCTATTTTAACTTTCATTTGTAAACATTCCATTGCATTGTGTATCCTTCCTTATTGTAATCTGACTGTGAAGTAATTATTCTCTTTTAACCGTGATTGAAGCTCATGCAGCTGCTTTTGTTAGATTCAGCACACAGACACAAGCTCTAAAAAAGGATTAAACACTGTCTGGCCCTTTAAAAGTGCAAGAGGTACTTTAACTTTGCTTTAGTCAGAAAACAATTCAGTTATTTCTATCTGTGTTGTGTTTGAATGTATCCTTCATTTTATATTAAGACTCCAAAGATATAAACCCTTTCAGAGACTTCAGATTGATTCAAAGAAGTGTCAAAATGTTCATTAATGCTGGAGTTTTGTTGATGTTTGTAAATTCCATTTTGCAGCAAATCTGTAAATTGAAACAGTGCCTTTATTTAGAGTAAGAGTCTGTTAAGAATAGCAATTACTTGGACTTAAAGGTCTACAATTAGCTAAATTGAATTTATGAATGAAAACAATAGTAATATATTTGTTAATTTTTAAAAAGAGCTTTAAATTTTGCACACAATTATTTAAAAAAAAAGGGGAATTTTATTGTAATTGCAAACTGACTGCCGATTTTGAAATAAAAAAATCAAGTTATCCTGAAAAGCTGAACTCATTGGGTGTAACTTGAAATCCAGACACGCATCACCAGGTTCAAACCAAAGAGTGTCGTTTCTGTGTGTTTATAGCATCTGCAGACAAATCTGGTTCCCTCAGGAAAGAAAACACCAAATGACCTCAGAACAATCAGTGGTTTGCCCATTTCCTGTGAAGAACAAATGATGCAAGTTATATGCAACTGTATCACCTCTAAGTCTATAAAAAACAGCAAATATAGACCACAAAGCTGCCCCATAAAAAAAAAAAAAATTATTTAAATGAAGTACTTTGATCAAAGCATTTGAGTCACAATGGAAATGTAAAAGAAAACATAAATGATCAGTTTTCCTGGAAGTTCATCTTAGATTATTTTGACTCCTGGGATTGTCCTTGAACAAATGGATCTTGATTAAGAGATGTAAACAGTTCTCCCTTCTATATCCGTCATGGTCATTTGAATACTGTGATGATAAGCATATTAGTGTATTTTACAGTGGCTAAGCATCATGGTTTATCTAAGATGGCAGTAATTGGGCTAGTTAAAATATATGCTGTAGGACTATTTTGTGGTAAAATGTCATGACAAATAAGAAAAGGAAATAAAGAATTTACTGTGCAGAGCTGTTAAGCTTTATATCAAGCAACCCAATCCATCTGTTTAGATCAGTATGATATATTAACCAGCTCTTGAAGCATGAATGCCCTGTAGCTCTCTTTGTCTGATAGTCATGGGGTGGTTATTACTATAGATAAAGATTATTTATAGTGTTGATATAAAGCACTAAGGACCAATGTGTTCCCCTGAAAGGACCTTCAACTTTCAAATACCATTTAATCTTTTAGCCAAGTGTAACCAAGTAGTGTAAAATGTTCAGGTAAAAGAGCTTGAATGGTCTAAAAGGCTAAAACTGAAAGATACCTCAGCATTTCTTCAACAGTGAACATATTTTTTGCCACTTATGGCTACCTAAAGTAAAATAACACATCCTTTTTCTTATTTTGTCACATTACTACTATCAGCTCCAGGGATGTATAGGTATTTCATCATCATGGGATGAAACACAAACCATGTATCGTCTTCCTTCCACTTCATGGTTGTTTACTAATTTGTGCTATTCAGGTCATAGCAAATTGGAACAATCGAAACGAAGATGGTTCCTATAATCTGCAAGTTTCATAACCAACATCTCATCTTCCAATTTGCATGTTATCAAAACAAAAACAAGGCTTTGTTGGGCTACTGTATGAAAACTCGAACTCAACGCTATTTCTGTCATTTTGAAATTAAAAAGCTTCCTGGATGGGAAGCGAAACTTCTTCAAACTTGGAACCAATGTCCAGTGAATTCTATTTCTTAATTTTCTTTTTTTTTTCTTTCTTTTTTTTTTTTAATGTCTATTCTATGATATAAAACTCCCATTGAAATATGTTCACATTTTTAGTTGCAACTTGAAAAAATCTAAAAAAAAAAATAAAAAAAAAGGATTTAGGCATGAGAATCTTTTTAAACGTGCTGTTTATGAAGGTATAAAATTATAATAATAATTTTATGAAAGGCTAGGCAGTGTCATTGTGGTTCAGTACAATAAATTCAAATTTTACTGTCAATCACTGATCCTGCTGCTATGATCTTTTGGGGTTTGCATTTAGTTTTCATTAGGGTTTTATTTTCTGATTACTACCATGCTCTGTACTATTTGTCACTATTCATTAACAAATGACCCTGTGTTCCTTATAATGATCACGTCATTAATTATAATTAGCTCTGGCTTCCACTGGTGATGCGTGTTGTGTACTTTTCAGTGATGGTGCTTTTTTTTTTTTTTTAACTGTGATACTTTTCCTGTTTGTGATGTTGTACTTTCTCTTCTTCTCACTTTCTGTAGAAGAAGCAGCCTACTAGGGTTTACCTTTTATTCTTTTTCTCTATTCTTATCTTTTGTTTTTCCTCATCTCTTTCTCTTCCTTTTTTCTCTTGTTCCATTTTGTTTCTGTCTCTGTTCATTGCATTTGAAATTATCTCCATATAGTGCTTAGAATTATATCCATTTATCAAGTGCAGCATTATATTGTAGCCATAATACTCCACTGGCGAAATCTGTTAAGCCCCACCTTGGCATGAAGGAAACATTTTTGAATGCTACTCTGACGGACAGGACATGAGGATTTGTGCTCCTGTCTTGACATCAGAGTGAGGATCATTTTCTTAAAGTCTCCATTAGATGGAAAAACCTTTGAAATAAAGTTAGGACATGTTTCAGTTACATATATATATATGCAACTGTATATATATATATATATATATATATATATATATATATGTAACTGTATATATATAACTAAAAACAAAGGAATGATTCATTGTTTGAAATGCTACGTGAACCAAAAATCCATTCGCATCTGAAAACCTCAGTTATCAGATAAACCTATGATCATAGCAGATAAACCTATGATCATATCTCAGTATGACTTAAGTTAAAAGTGCAACAACTTAATTTTTCAAGCAATGTTGAAATAAAACTGTAAATAGAAAAAAGAATAAAGCCGGTCCAAGAGATCCTGTATATCTTTTATGGTTTCAGTGGCACCATATATAATTTATTTCTTATAAATGTATTTAGTATTATGACTGTGGGGCCACAACGGGGACCATTTCTAAAGGTGCATTGGCTCCTATTGGCCCCTGTATAGAACCGCCCCTGTATACAACTCCTAGTACATTATATCATAAGTTAAATAAATATATGCAGATACTGCCCATGTCTGTCGACATAATTCATTGATCTATATATAAAAAAAGCATTTTGATGTGCAACCTTTTAACTTTCAAATATATATAAAAAAAAATAATTATCAAGACTAAAAAGATCTGTTAGTACATTTTAAACAACATGTATCCTACCTGCTTTTATTAAAATAATCATAAACATGTAGTTTTACAAACGTCTCTTTAAATATATCAGTAAAGTTGATGTCTTTTGTCTCTACCTTGCCTCCTTCTGTCTTCTTGTGTCTAGTTATTTTTTTCTTCCAGAGGCTGCTGCATTCAGCAGGCTACTGTAGTCCCTCCCTTCCTCTATAAATCCCTCCATCTGAGCCTCCAGGGACTGTTTATATCTTTAAGGTGGAGAGGACAAACATGAGGACCACAGCTTGGACCTTTGTTGTTTTATCATTTGCTTTGTTAGCAGCAGGTAAAATCTATTAGATCAGTTGTTTTTTGATTTATTTTTCTTGTTTTTGTGTTAATTAAACAAATGAAACGTGTGTTTTTAAATGGAACAACTAAACAGCAAAGGTGGCAGAGAAATGCTCCGCTCCGCTGGAATACCCGCACACCCGACTGAGTGAGAAATTCAGCTCCAGACAGGAGTTTAGCAGCGGGGAGAAGGTCTACTACAGCTGCGCAGAGGACTTCACTCCATCCAAGGGGAGCAGATCTGTAGAGTGTCACAATGGGAAGTGGAGCCGGCTGACTCTAAAATGCGAGAGTAAGAGTCAAATATAGTTTTCCTTTTGAAAGTAAAGCATAAATGTATCATTAAAAGCAGTAATATGCTATGTGAACAATTTTCATCAGCGTTTAACGCCCTCTGCTGGACATATAGCGCAAAATATACTCTTACAAAATTCAAACTCTTAACTTATACTGTGGAACATTTTATTTATTCCCTAATTCAATTGTACAGAAGAAGATTAGGTCCACTGAAAAAAAAAAAAAATTAACTGATTTTAAAATTTTATTTCAGTATAATATGAGGAAAAAAGTCTGAATTCTGACTTTAATCTCAGAATTCTGACTTTTGTTTCAGAATTCTCACTTTAATCTCAGAATTCTGACTTGGATCCCAGAATATTGACTTTTTTTCTCACAATTCTGACTTTTTTCTCAGAATTCTCACTTTAATCTCAGAATTCTGACTTAAATCTCAGAAATCTGTCTTTTTTCTCAGAATTGTGACTTTAATCTCAGTATTCTGACTTTTATTTTCAGAATTCTGATTTTAATATTTGTTTTCCTATAGCAGCCACAAATTTTATACCTAAACTAATTATGAAATAATTGTGAAGTGGAATTAAAAAAAATAATCTTAAAGTGTGGCATGTGTTGTAGTTAGTATTTAAAAAGCCCAAAGTAAATTAATTTTCATTCCATGCAACCATGCAATTTTTTTAAAACTTATTTTATTACATTTCATTATTCTCATAAATACTTCTTCAAAGTATTGTACTCTATTTTTCAAAGATTTGACAAGACCATCATAGGCCACTTCTTAAAGTATTTGGAAATACTCTTTGGAACAAAGTTTGTTATATGACTAAGCGTTTAATGCTTTAAGAATCAGTCATATACCTTTGTTAATGCTAAATGATGTCAGAAATAATGTATTATTTTCTTGTGTAATGCCAGCCTCACCCATCCTTTTATCTCACATAAACCCGATACTTCCAACAGAAATATCATGTGGCAGTGCCGGGGATCTCCCCAATGGAAACTTCCGTTATGAAGGGCAAACATACGTGGGGGAAAAAGTTTTTGCCGAATGCAACAAAGGGTAAGCTTTGCCTAAACAAACCCCTTAAATATAATAAATAATGATTTATATATTTAAATGTGTTCCCATGTTGACAGATATATTCTGAAGGGGATGAGCTATATGATATGTAAGAAGTCTGGATGGACTGGAGAATTCCCGTCCTGTGAAGGTACAGTAGGCAGATCTTCATTAAAGCTGCAGGATTATAAAGCACCACCCTTAAATTGCAACATAATGAAAGACAACTTTAAGTGGGTGGTATGTCGCCTCATCTAATCCCTTAATTGTTTTCTGGATATCCAACATCTTTGTTATCCCCTTTGTCATCTCACCAGTCATGTGTCATTCTTTTTAATCTACTTGTGCACCATACATATTTCCCCACTTAGAAACAAGAGTTTCACCTGAAATCACAAAAAGCAAAAAAAAAAAGTTGCTTTGAAAAGT